GCCGACAAATGAACGAGGCTGAACAAAGCGCGGGAACGCAGCAAAGTTTAGGTTGCTCGGGCAATGGCAGCCACACTCCCACCCAAATCATCCAATATGATTTCTAAAAAAGGAGGTATTCGGAATAAACAAATATCGCCTTATCAATGTAAAACATGTGAATGATCAAGGTCAATTATTATGTCTACTCAGTAGAGATAGAAACATCATTTCAATCCTTCATGACAGGAAATGAGAAGAATCAGCTTACGAATTGGACGGTCTAAAAACGTTCTATTGTAAATTGGCTTACATGTTTTATCCAAGTCTGGAGTGGCCATTAGTAGTTTTACCTTTCTCACAAGACCATCACTAGAGGGATAGGTCTCTACCACTTTAGCTAATCTCCAATCAGAGCGAAAGACTTCTCGTCTTTTAGCATAACTATATCATCAACTCTGATATTTTCTTTGGTACCTTGCCAGGTTTTTCTCGCCTGATGATTGTACAAATATTTTCTTTCCCACCTTATCCAGAACAAATTGGCTAGATATTGGACTCTGCGCCACCTCTTTCTCACATGTATATCTTCCTTCACAAAATCTCAAGAAGGTGGAGGGGTGACAATTTCAGACTTCATTGTGAGGATATTGTTTGGCCTTAGAGAAAGGGGCCCGTTAGGGCCTTCCAAATCATCCACCGTCGGTGGTCTGCTGTTGATTATGGCCATTGTCTCATACAGGAATGTACGCAATGCTGATGTGTTCAGCTGGGTTCTGTTCTGGATCAGGATTCCATCTAAGACACTTTTGATAGTTCGGATCTGCCTCTCCCACACTCCGCACATGTGGCTTGATGAAGGAGTGTTAAATAAGAACTCACAATTTTGGGAGAGAAGTTGTTAAGATTCTCCCTCAGTTCATGACTTGCACCAACAAAGTTGGTTCCCTGGTCACAGCGAATCATAAGACCTTTCCTCGAATGGCATAAAGCATCTCATGCATTGATGAACGAATTCGTAGACATGTGATCTAGACCTCAATATGACAGCTCTCATACCACTTCAGCTCCTTTCGTCCTTCTTTGATCATGGCCCAAAACAGTCCAGTCCACAGTGGGTAAATGGTGGAGAGGGTTCTGTCCTGTCTTCTGGGAGGTTTGCCATTTTTGTGATACTCTTCTTCCTCTCAGTTTTCTGCAGGTAACGCAGTTTCGGATCAGGAACGACACTGTCGAATGACACCCAACAATCCAGTACCCATGATTGTAGTCAAGCCTCGACCTTGATGACCTATGCAGTCATGATAATGTCTAGCAACCAACTGAGAATAGTTTCTCTTTGGCAACAAAATTGGATGCTTCACTCCATACAAGAAGGCTGACCTTTTCAATCTGCCTCCCACCCGTAGCAAACCATTCTCATTGAGAAAGGTGTCAAGGTTCTTTAGCGGTTCGTTTCTATGACTAGAAGTGGTTCTCTTCAGGAGATGCTGTATACTGTCTTTGAGTGTTTCTTGCTGTATAACTCTGATAAGGTTTGTCTTTGCTAAGTTTCTAACTTGTATTTTGGAAAATGGCTTTCCCCGTTTCTTAAGTGAACATTCAACAATGACTGCCACTGCTGTCACTGCCTTTGAATAGCTAGAAAATTAGCTCATCCTCTCTGTGAAGCTAGTGAACTTCATTCTCTGTACAATATGTACAACTGTCTGTTTAACCTCTACATCATCTTGTGGGATTTCCAAGTCAGTGTCTGCAGTCTGAGGTAAAGCTTCTGTTTCCCACAAAAACTTAGGGCATGTAAGCCAGTTGGATTTGGCTATTTCATCAGCTGTTAGCCCACGTGTGGTATGATCTGCAGGGTTATCAGTGGTTGGAACATATTTCCACTGTGCTGGCTGGGAAACTACTCTAATTCATTGAACCCTATACGTGATGAACATCTTGAGTCTATTTTTGTATCATTTTTTATATATCCAAAGACTACCTTGAAATCTGTCCAAAAATGATGTGACATGTCTTTATAGCTCATTTCAGTCTCGAGAACTTTAGAAACCTTTGCTGAAATTGCTGCAGCTTGTAGTTCCAGTCTAGGTATAGATACAGGCTTCAATGGGGCAACCCTGGCCTTCGCCATGACCAAGGCAGAGTGTACCCTTTCATCTGTGGTCTTCAGACGCACATATGAACATTGACCATAGCCAGAAAGCGAGGCGTCAGAAAATGGTGACTGTATGGAGACTGCTTGACCTAAACCTTCTAGAATGAAGCATCGCAGGATTTTGAGCTCACTCAGTTTCAACAGCTCAGCTTTCCAGCATTCCCAATCTGGACGAAGATCATCTGGCAATGGGTCATCCCAATCTGCTTTGTCCCGACACATTCTAAGGGCGAAATAAGATCTAAGGGTAGTAAATTGAGGCAACGAGTCAAGGGGTGATCCTTTAATGTCAACTTAAAACAAAAGGTAACTGATTCGATGCACCACTGTATATCTAAATCTTTCTCTGGCGAAAAACTCTTCTGACTGGGTTCAAGGTTAGTCTGTGTTATAGTCGCTCTTTCAGACTCTGGAAGACTGAACATTACCTCAGAATTATTAAAACTAATTGTGTGTAGCCGCAGATCTCAACAGCATTGTGAATGAGATCCTCCATAGCTTCTACACTTTGTTCCGACTTCAATCCATCTATTACGGGAACAACCCAGTAAAAGAATATACCTCACTTCCTCACTTGGTTATCAGTTTATGATGAGGACATTAGTCTTATTTAATTAGTTATAAAGATTGTTATCTTATGCAACATAATAATGTGTAAACAAATGTGTACTGACTGGAACTACTTTTAGACATTGATTGACCTGCCAGTTTAGAAAATCACATGGAGTGCGAGTTTGTGTTACTATATCACGATCGTACAGAAATCATACACATTTTTCGTGATCATGTAAAATAAGTCTTAGAACAATATAAACGGAAAAGAGTACAAGTATTTTATTTTCTCTAAGTTACAGGAGTTTTCTGGCGCACCATATCAGACGGGAGAGACAAATCATAACGTTTCGACCACCCTGGAAAAGTCACTTCCATGTTACTGTCTGCATGGATTTGTCGTACTTTGGCGACTGCCCATCAATTCGCTCCATCAACTGCCTCGATGATGTCTCCCCGTTCACATGTGAAAGTGGCCATACTGATACAATTACGGGAAAAATAACAAATAATGTATGCTTCTATAAAGTTTGACGAAATGCCGTAAATGAAATTCATCTAGACGGCAGTTGTTTTTATAAGACTAAGACTGCATAAAGGTCACATTTGCATATCCCTATGCGTAAGAGCGAAGTGAAGAGGCCGTTCCAGATTGAATACTCATGTTAAAATATGACGATAAAGACAATTCCACAGAGCTCTAAAGTAAATAATTTTCAACAGTATATGTTTATTGTCATAATTATAGAGTATATAAAGAACACATCGTGAAAAACAAAAGAATAGTTCCATGCGTAAGAAACTATTTATGAGTACTTTGTCTCAGGCATTGCCTTCTAATCTAGCTTATCTAACGTTTTACGACACATATTCAAAAAAAAGTAAACAAACTTCACATGACGTCGACATTTTATCGCACCCAAGTAACTACCTCAGCAACTCGGTTTTTTTGTTATTAGCGTAATGTCATCAACATAGAAGTTGTTTATCAAGAATTCTGAAGCGTTCTCTCCAAGGTGCTTGTAGTCCTTGGCGAGTTATTTTAAGCCGAAGTTTGCACATGCTGGTGATGAAACAACTCGAAACAAATGGACTTTCATTCTAAAATCAACTGGGGGTTGTGTGAAGTCTTCGTCTTCCAACCACAAAAACCTGAGAAAGTCTTGGTGTTCGGGCTTCACACGAAACTGATGGAACATTTTCTCGACATCACACGTCAAGGCAATTGGGTGTTCACAGAACCTGCAGAGTACTCCAATTAAGGGGTTGATCAAGTCTGGACCTGACAAAAGGTGGTCATTCAAGCTTGAACCCTGGTAACGAGCGCTACAATCAAAAACAACTCTTACTTTATTCAGTTTTCTGGGATGGTATACTTCATGATGAGGTATATACCACGGTGTTGATGTCAGTGGCTCATCGTGTGGAACCATTACTGCATCACCTCTCTTTAGTATCTCTCTAATGAAAGTGGTGCAATGAGTTTGATATTCTGGTTTTCTCTGGAATTGTTTCAACAAGCCTATAGCACGATGCATAGCTGCTTGACGATTATTTGGCAACTGTGGAGGTTTTCCATCCCTAAATGGTAGCGTCATTTCACAATACCTATCTTCTCTCTGCCGAATACCATTTGATACGATTTCTATAAACTATATGTCTTCCTGAGACATAGTCTTATAATCTTCATCTCTGAAGTCTCTTTCTATGATACTCAGCAAATCAACAATGGTGACTTCTTTGATTGGAGTCTTGTTTTCATACATCACGTTTGATTGCTCAGGTTTGATGGGGGCATGTATGGCTCTGCTAACAACCATGTGGGTTTACGCCTTTACGCCGGACAGGACATATTTGATGGTTTTGGTATACATAATATTGAGTGTCATGCAGACATACTTATTTACATGTGGTTAAAGAGATGTATAGAAGTTATTATGAATTTACATGACACATTGTTTAAATGATTGTTTTCATGAAGTGGGTTCGTGAGTCGTCTTGCACAATATTAGCTTCAGTGGGACGTGTAGTGTAACTAAATGTATGTAATTACTACCTTATACTAAAATATGTTTGGATATTTAGCGTACTAACAAATTCGCACTTCTGGTCTGGTTAGACTTAAAATACACCACGAATATTCACTTTTGAGATAATTTTTGGTATGTGTTGATTCTTGGATATTTCAGCTTCGTCGTTCTGTACTTCGTTCAGTAATTCGAACTTCCCAGTCATCGAAAATGCCTTTGCTTTATTATTTGCTGAGGGTCGGCCGCTTAGGTATGTGCTCTGTAACTTGCAGCAAATGAACCTAAAAAAGGTTAGGTTTTCAAACAAAAATGACGTTGTACTAAAGTCCAAAAATTACGTTCAAGGTCTGCATTTTTTCGTAGCATAAAAACAATTTACTCCCTTGCTTATTGTGACACCCTCAAATCAACTGATTTTCATTCCCCTCAAAAGTCAAAATGGTATGTGCCTCCATTTTACGCCACGACTCAGAATTCTTTTTTGCTTGATGTTTTCAATTGCCTTCAATTGCGTTTCAGTTTCAGGATTACACGGATTACTAAAATCAAAATATAATTGAGGTATCTATCGCCATGGTAAGTAGTTTCGACCTTTTTTCGCTCGAAAGGCAAAGGCGATAAGACTAGGTTCTCAAGGATGCAGGTCGTTTGGATCGGACGATTTCTTTTGTTTCCAATTCGTTGTACGCCTAGAAACATGGCAATGTTGTTTTTGGTGAATATATAACATGTTCTGTTCCAATAAAGGTTTTTGATCTGCATAACAATTCCTTACTGAAACATTTCCTGTACTCTCTAAAAATTGACAATGCCCAAGATGGACTTCCTGTTCAACACGTTTTTGAAAGTTCGCGTCACTGTATGTAAAACACACTCTCGAACTTGACAATTTTAAAGTTCAGACCATTAAGCAAATGAATGGAAATACCAGTTGCATAAATCATGAAGATTGATAATTCGATTGCTGACCGGGATAGCTGCATTTAGTGTTCTTTTCTATGCAATATAAAATCATATCGATGCTGTGGGTGGCGAAGGGTGACAGATTGTTTTGGTTCAACGATTTTCAAAGCATGGGCAAGTGATATTTCCTTACTTTTTTTACTATTCTGACGTGTTATGGGCTGCATATAACAGTCAGACACTGACAAGTAAGTAAGTACTAGTAAACAGTCCGAGACATAGTCAATACAAGCCGGTAGCCTGGTTGACGATCTGCTCCGCTCAAAAAACAAGCAACATGTTTTTGGCTGTTTCCATGGTAGGACATGAACGTGAAGCTAACGTCAATTTATAACTAAATGGGCCCTGTATACGAAGTTCGCAAAAACCATTCAGTCTTTAGAAGTCACTTTAATAGTTCATTACTAGAACGTATTCTGCTGTTATATTTATTATTTCCAACCTTTTTGCGATAGTATTTTCTAGAATGAAGGCAGCATTTACAGTTCATTAAAAGTTCAAAGTTGCATTGGGATTACATTGATACAGTGTAACAACGTCAGCGTCGGTGATCTCTTACCACTGCGCAACATAGCCAAAATAAAAAGCATGATCATTTGAACACCGCTGTTACAAAACTGGTAGGAGGTAATACATTTGGGGCAAAAGTATTCAAAAATCAGTGTTTGGCTGTTGCAATGGCAGTGGTGGGCCAGGATTTTTTTCCAATTAGTGATGGTACGACCTATCTGTGAAGTATGAACAAAATTGGCCGAGCCCAAAAAAATCACAGAGGAGTTTAAAAGCCGTTGCTAGTGAAAAGTTACCCCAACTTTGGGGTCAAATTTGAGTGAAAAAAAGAAAATGAAAAAAAGATATCAACAATTCAAATATTAACTTTGTGCCCACACTCAGGCTGAGTAGAATAAGCTATGTCTGAGGTGTTTTATCCCGAATTCGTAGAGGAGATACATTTGTCGCAAAGCTATAAAAAAACAATTTGTTGGCTGTTGCTATGGAACAGTGGGCCATTTTTTTCAGATTTTTTCCTAATAACTAGGGTGAAGGTATGATCTACCTGCCAAGTTTGAGCGAAATCGGCCAAGCCAAAAAATCACAGAAGAAATAATACGTGAAAAACTGGAAATCACACACACAGACACACGCTCACACAAAACGACAAAAATG